AAGTTAAGGTCTTGCAATGGAGGAGATGGATCTGGGCGAGGCCCATGAAATGTGGGTTTCCCTGTGAGCCTCTTCCACACAGATGTCATGAAGCATCATGTTCTCGACCAGCTGAGCAGTCATGTCGAAGAGACAGACCCAAGAAAGGGCACATTCTTGCAGTGCTAGAGGCTTCCTCATGACATGTGTAGCTATACACGGCCTAGACTGTCATCTACCAAAGTCAGTCTCAAATCCAGCCATGCATCTGAACTCAGTGGATGAACAGTTTTCTAAGACAATGACTGGCTTTCCTCTTAGGGAGTGCTTTTTTAGCATACTTGCCCATTTTCTTTCTTTCTTTGTTCTTATATGTAACATGAGGGCCAACTTGGAAAACTAAATGCTCAAACAAGAGATGCGTTAGATGGCCGCGTCAGAATTGCCTACAAAGTCACACACACACACACACACGTGTATACATGTGTGCACACATGGCTCATATGTGTGTGTTGTGACAGGTAGGGATGTTGAGAGTGTCTAGGTGTCCTCTTATGCTGCTCTAATAGAAGAAAAAGAAAAGCCACTTTTATCCTTTGTTTCTTTTACTAACGGTAAGGCTTAAGAGAATTCTAATTGGAAAAGAAAGGTTAGTGTTGGTATATCTGATAAAAGTGACCTTTAGCCAATGAGTGGTTTAGTTTCCTTTCTCTGTAGAGAAAGCCTGTCTGAAGGGCAAGTGGTATTTTTTTTTTTTTTTTGGTACCCAAGGTGATATTTATTCCTTGAACCTTTTTATTTGACAGGCGCCAAAAAGCTGACAGAAAAGAATCTTTAATCAGTTATGAAATGATTCTCCCTCACCACAAATACCCAGGGGGGAGCAGTTACAAATTAGAAAACACCCTTTGAGGACCTACTCTGTGCTATGGGGCCTGGGATCCAGAGGTAACAGGACAGATGTGCTTCCCTGGCCTCAAGGGTCTAAGAGCTAGCTGGGAAGTTGGACACTGGGCCATAATTACAACTGTGATGTGTCACAAAGAGATGGGCTACCGGGGCCTATGTCAGGGGAGCTCATATAGGGAAGGGTCTCAGGGCTTCCCAGGGCAGAACACTGGAGCTGAGACTCAACAAGGGAACAGGGGCTGGTGAGGTGAGGCATGGGAGGAGCTTCCAGCAGAGAGTGCGTGCTCAGACAGGAATGGCCCTGGACAGGAAAGGCCCTGGACAGGAAAGGGGCCAGCGTGGTGAGGGCAGAGTGAAGTGAGAAGAAACTGTGGAGGAACACTGGGAAAGCCCAAGCTGAGCCTTGCTAAACACAGTAAGTATTCTGTACTTCATCCTAAGAAGCATGGGTGCTTGTTGAAGGCTGAAAACCAGAGCAGTGACATGTTCATCACTTGACTACTGGGTAGATGATGGAGTCCAGTTAGAGACATCAAAATGGTCCAGGCAAGAGAGGATGGTGCCCTGAACAAGGATAATCATCATGGAAATGGAAATAAGGGGGTTTTAAAGGGCAGAATAGGTAGAACTTGGTGATATGTTGGATTGGTGAGGTTAGGGAGAGGAAGGAACCTGGATGCTTCTCAGGACATGGATGTCATTCGCAGGGGCGGGGGGGGGGGTCCTTGGAAGAGAGGCAGGGAGGGGGCAGGAGGAGAACCTGAGTTTAGCATGGGGCACGTTGGATGCCAGTCACCTGGGAAACATCAAAGAGGGGCTGTCAAGAAGGAGGTGCCCTTGGGACTCAGCAGAGAGTCTAGGTGGAGATGGCTGGAAGCTTCAGGTGCAGGCACTAACTTCAACTGCACAGAGAGCAGGGGGCTGGTATAGAGTCCTGCATCCTCTACACACTCAGTGCACCTGCTGCTGTTTCATGGCTGAGAAGGAGGGAAAGGTCAAGGGGATAAGCAGGAAAGCAGGAGAATCTAGTGGTATTCAAAGCAAGAAAGGCAGGGGTTTCAGAAGGAGGGATTGGGTAGCCATGTTGAATGAGGCTAAGAGAAAACTTTCTGGAAAAAAATAAAAAGATGGACTTTATTGCCTCTTGATTACAAATCTCCCTGCTGCTTCCAAGAGTCCAAACTCCTTATCCTGGGCACCAGGCCTCTTACACATGATTGCCAGTCAACATTCCAGAATTTTCCCTGGCTTCTCCCTTGCCAGTGAAGCCTGTGGTGTGGCTGCACTGACAGGTCCTCTGTGGACACTGGCAGATGTGTGTCATTTGCCCCTCCAGCATTCATGCTCTCATATGTCAGTTTTTGTCTAGATCTGCCCCTCTCCCACCCCACTAAGTCCATGGGGTGACTGAGGTCACCATGGCAGCCCTTGGTGAGGGGCATGTGGCTAAGCTAATGCTGATCAGTGCTTTGCCCTCCACTGAGTGACAGACTTGGGGAGGGGACAGGAAATGTGACTGAGCTGGTCCAATCAGAGTGAATCTCAAGGTAGTTCATGTACAAAGGCTAATGTTCCTTTCCTGGAGCTCAGATCTGTGAGGATGTGGCTTCAGAAGAGCTGACAGCCATGTGGGGCCCAAGGGAGAAAAGGTGACCTGAAAACTTGGCTCTAATACATGAAAGCAGAGCTAAGAGATGGAGCTTTAAGCTGTGCCAGAAGCCATAGTGAATCTGGACTTTTGAGTTGTAGGAACCAGTGAATGTCTTTTCCTTTACATTTTTGTTGAGGGTCAGGTTTCCTGTGACTTGTGATAGAATGGGATCCATGAATCCTAACTGATATAAACATGCTATTCCTGTTAAGTAACAGAATGGCTTCCTTGTTGCTCCATCTGAAACATTTAACTGTGCTTCTCACAGCACTCTCAATAATAGCTAAAAGATGGAAAGAGCCTAAGTGTCCATCCGCGGACGAATGGATCAAGAAGATGTGGTTTATCTATACCATGGAATACTACATGGCAATGAGAAAGAATGAAATGTGGCCATGTGTAGCAACATGGATGGAACTCGAGGGTGTTATACTTAGCGAAATAAGTCAGGCAGAAAAGGACAAATATCATATGTTTGCGCGTATAGGAGGATTAGGAGGAACTTAACGGAGGACCGTTGGGGAGAAGAAGGGGGGAAATGGTGGGGAAAAGGGAGAGAGGCAAACCATGAGAGACTCTTGAATGCTGAGAACAAACTGAGGACTCATGAGTGTGGGGGAGATGGGCATGGAGGAGGGCACTTGTGGGGATGAACACTGGGTGTTATATGGAAACCAACTTGACAATAAACTATTTGTAAATAAAAAAAAATAACTGCTTCTCAGTGCACCCTTTTTGTATTCTTCTGAGCTCTCATCCCCACCTCTGTCTTTCCTCAGAGCCTGGCATTCCCACACATTCCCTGTGATTCCCCAATAGTTCAGGCCAGGGATAAGGTCTTATTCACTTTTATATTCCCAATGCCTCGTACATTGTCTGGTGCATAAGAGTCACTTATCAAATGCTTTCTGAATGACTCTTTGAATGAATGAATGAGTGAACAAATGAATTACAAACAAGAGTTCAATATCAAGATATAGGAAGATACTGGAGAAAGGGGAAAATATGGTTAAATAAATGCTTAACACAATGAAAAATTAAGCACATCCTCTCCAGTCCTGGCCAAGTCCATTTTCAAAATGCCATTATTTTAATTTTGGAAATAGCCTCTCAAAAATGAAAAATAAACTAAGTATGTCCCTTGTGCTAGCATAGAATAAAGCCATGTAGCTATGTTACATCAGAATAACTTCACAGAATCTGCTATTTGAAGCTCATTAGGTCAGGTTGGCTGATTTCACCCCAAACCTAAACAGTCCTCAGGACCTAATGAGCAGGCTCTGTCGTTCAGGCCCAGGCCCGCCTTTAGTGCCATGCTGGGTCATCATTAGATGTCTACGGAAGACATCCTGAGCAAGCCTTTGTTACCGTGGAAACAAGCCAGGGAAGGGAAAAGCTGGCTGTCATATGCAAGATGAAGGTTGTGTATGGGAGATACCGACAACCTGAGGAAACAACATGAGGCTTCCCTATGCAGAGTGGCAGCCTGGCATTCAGGTACAAACCCAGACCTGTCCAGACATCCAGTAAGGAAATACACAGAAGCCCATATGTCCGGCTCACCAATGAGGCTTCAGACTCAGATGAAAATGTCACTAAGGCTTGACTAAAACAGACTGTTAGTATTTTTTTAAGGAGTGTTTTCCAAATTAAATTTGGATTTAGCTTCCAAATGAACAGAGAGACATTTCTAAATCCAAATATTGTGAAGACAGCTTTCCTCTTTCCGCCCTTAACACCTCCCATTATTTTGTACATATGTATACATCTGTATGTATATGTACAGGTTAGAATGAAACCACTGAGGGGCACCTGGATGGCTCAGTTGGTTAAGTGTCCAACTTCAGCTCAGGTCATGATCTCATGGTTTGTGAGTTCAAGCCCTGCTTCAGGCTCTGTGCAGACAGCTTAGAACCTGGAGCCTGCTTCAGATTCTGTGCTTCCCTCTCTCTCTGCCCCACCCCCACTCACACTCTTTCTTTCTCCATCTCTCAAAAATGAATAACTGTTAAAAAAAATTTTTTTTAAAAGAATGAAACCCACCAAGATATGCAGAACACGGGGCTTGGTGCAGCAAGTACTCAATGTATCATCACATTCAATCCATGCTTTGGGTTTGAGATGCTTAAGAAGACTCTATAAAGACTTTATTTTGTTAGTGACACATTTCTAATGATCCAACCACTAGATTCAAAATTAAAGCAGGCTCATGGATATTGCTTCGCTAATCTGGTGGTAATTGTTCGCAAAGATGTTTTAGCTGCTCTTCCTGTTTTAGCTGTTTGAAAATCTAGAATGAACCAAGATTTGAGGTCCTTTGTTCTTTCTGCCAATAATTAGTTCTCAGAACTGAACACTGTGAAAAACCCTATACAGAATCTGGGAAACCCAGTACAAAGCCCAAAGGAGAGAGAAGGGAGGAGCAGAGAAGAGCTCTGAGGGCATGACAGGCTGGGGGTACCTTATCTGATTTTCCTCGTTGTCTACCAGGAAGAACCATCGGAACTTCACAATCAAGGGGCTGCAGTTGGTGATTGTTATATATCGGATCACTTCTGTATCGTTCAGGATGCAGCCAAAATCCAGCTCCATGGTCTCAAAGCTGAGGTTGGGGTAGTTCACTTCTCCACGCAGGCTCAGTCTGTCTACTTGAGGGTGCTCTACATACTTGATTGCTAGAATTTCTTCTGCTACCCAGTTGTTCAAATCATTTCTGTAAGAAGGGTCAAATTTGACCAGCAAGTGTTTTTCTCCACCAGTCTCCAGTTTGATAGGCTACAAACAAGACAACAGGAAATAACTGACCTTTGTACTATACATTTTCAACCTACTCCATGGAACAGGACAACCAAAGTAATTTATATATATGTATGGACATACACACATACAGATGCACATATAAGTACAAACAGATTAGTATGAAATATATACAAGGCCACACTTCTTTCATCCATAATTATGTATTCACTAAACATAATTAAATAGCTGGTATATCTAAATTCATATAGATATCTATATTGATAACTATAGATATTTTATATACATATACGACACACACATATATTTTATTAGTTAAACATGAAAGCAAGGAAAATCTGGATGGGAATCATTTGAAGAGGTTTTGATAATAGTTTTGAGGTTGTAAGGATTGTGGAGTTGCAAAAGGGAAAGTCTGCAATGAATAACTTATAAGATATTCTCAACGGAAAATAAATTAGATTGTAAAATGGTCTTCGTAGACAAACAAGAAACATTCAAGGCTTAAGAAATTTTTATAAAGGCTTTCTAAAGCCCTGGGGGGGGGGGGGTTCTGTAGAGGGTGACCCAGAAAGGGATGGATTAGGTAATTTAATTTCTTTTCTAATGCCTGCAATTCTAACTCTTAAGCACAGTGTTATCTACTTTCTGCTGTCTTCTATTCAACTTAAAATGACACTCGGAAGCTTGACAGAGTTTATTCAGTAGATTATGTTTATTCTTTTCTCTCTTTGATTCAAATCCCCGTGTGTTCCTTGATGCCAAGGCCACTGGAACACCATACCATAGAAAGCCTGGCTATGAGTTAGCTTTTTTAGGAATTGCTCAAATTCACACAGTTAATCCACAGGAAAGCCACCTCCTGGTTTTGCAGAAAGTGCCCCGAGGCAGTCAGGAGGCATGCACACAGGGATAAGTCTTTCACAGAGCACTTCCCTCTTGCTGAGTTTTTAGGTTCAGGTATTTAACTGTGTACTTTGGTGACATGATTAGATGGTTTCTGTTGATAAAGCCAATCACCTGATTCAAGAATCAGAGAGAGGGCAATGACTCTTCAGGCAGCTAATCCCATCTGAAAGCGTTGCCATCCCCTTGTACAGGTGGCTCGGCACAATTTAGACCCCATTCTTGCAGACTGTAGCACATGGTGTTGCAATGCCTGGCATTTAAGTATCTTTGAAGACTGAGTTAAACATTTTCCCCTTTTGTTGTTTTGTAGAAATGATACACATCCTCAAAAATTCACATTAGATATAAAAGCACAAGGAGGAGAAATTAGAAACTCATCCAAAATTTCACCATATATTATTCTTCAGAGTTAACATTTTGTAAGCACGAGTCCAGACATGATGGATAGATAAATAACAGTTTTACAAAAATGAAATTAGACTAATTTATTTTTTTAATGTTTGAATTCCGCCCCCCCCCCAAAAAAAAACCACTTCAAAAATATTCTTACACAAGAGATGATAATCTTAAAATCATAAACCCTGGGGCCAGACTGCTTGGGTCCAAATCTAGCCTCTGTCAGTTAACAGCTCTGTGAATTTCAGCAACACTACTTAGTCTTTCTAGTCCTGGGTGACTCTCTCAAAACGCTGTAGCCATTGCTGCATTGTCATCCGGCATTAAGTATGACTATGGAGAAGTCTGAGGTTAGTCTAAACTCTTCCCTTGATGGGTCCCTTCTTTTCTGCTTAGAGTCCATAGAATTCTTTGGTTATCAATAGACAGGTAACTTCACCACAATATGACTCCCTGTTGAATATTCCATTTTGTCCCAGGACAGGGTATGGCCTTGCTTTTAAAAATCTAAACCTCTTATCCAAGCCATCTAGTTCCCTGCCCCTGACGCACCAAGGTTGCAAGTGCACTGCTTATCCTTGTGGAGATAATGTACGGATAAAAAGTCACATTCATATATGTATTTCAAATTTTTTTATACACATGAGAGCACACTGTGCACTCTTGCTCTGCAGTGTGCTTTTATCACTGAGAGATCACTCATCAGTACATGTGGAGCTGCCTGATAGCTGCATTTTATTCCATCATATAATTTCACTATCATTTATTTAACCAATCTCCTACTGATGGATATTGGCTTCCAATCTTATGCTCTTGTAATCAGTGTTGCAATGAATATCCTTGTCTATATGTTATCTTGTATATTGTGTCTATATCTGAAAGGTAAATTCCTAGCAGAAGAATAACTAGGTCAAAAGGTATGGACATTTGAAATTTTGATAGCTGTGTCTTCCAATGTAGACTTCCCCAACACTGTGGGAGTGCCTATTTCCACATGCCCCCCAACACAGAGCACTATCGAATATTTGCTCTTTGCCAGTCTGATAGGAAAAATTAATTTGCATCTCTTCTAATGTGATTAAAGTTGAGCATATTTTCATATATTTAAGAGCCATTTTATTTTTCTTTCTGTGAACTCTATTCATTTCCTTTGCCTATTTTTCTATTGGTGTATTTCCTGTTGATTTGTAAAAGCTCTTCATTTATTTTTAAATATTTATTTATTTTTGAGGAGAGAGAGAGAGAAAGAGAGACAGAGTGTGAGCAGGGGAGGGGTAGAGAGAGAGGGAGACACAGAATCTGAAGTAGGCTCTAGGCTCTGGCCCAGTGTGGGGCTTGAACTCAGTGAAATCATGACCTGAGCTGATGTCAGACGCTCAACTGACCCAGCCACCCAAAGCTCTTTACTTTTTAAACTATATGTATGCTTTTAAAGTTACACATACAAATAATATGAAAGTTCTAACTGTGCTATAAGAGTTATTACAGAAAGCAGTAGTTCCTTACCCAACCTGACATCCTAATAGTCCAGAGACCACTACCTCTCAATTTGTTTAGTAGGGCTGGTCTACAGAACAGCTTCTTTGGGCAGAGAGGGAGCGATCAGTTGGTGGGCATACCCCAGACACCACTGATTATACTGGAGGGCTAAAAATCACACTAGAAACATTAAAGTTCCCCTGACATTTTGATCAGTTTCTCTGGGGAAGAGCACCTATCTTTAGGTCTTGGGATAAAAGCCAGCTGCCCATGTTTTTTTTGTGTGTGTATGTGTGTGTGTGTGTGTGGGGGGTCAGGTGGGACAGCTGTCTAGTTAGTGCACATGGAATCCCTCTATTTTCAGTGTTTTCCTCACACTTGTTGCCTCTGAGTCCAGGCTACTCAGGTTGAATAACTCTCACATCTTTATGGTCTCACTGGGGAATTTTCTAAAATGCTGGTTTTTGTGCCTTTTTGGTCAACCCACTCCATCTTCATTCTGTCTTCTAGAATTTGTTTAAATCTCTCATTATTTGGTTGTATCCATTCTCCTCCTTCTTTATTTTATTGTTCTGGGCTTCTTTCCTTTTGAACATTCTACTTTTATCTTAAGATTTCAGGAGTGACAAGAAAATGCGTCTAATCTACCATGCAGATGGAGAAAGTTAGTTGCTCATATCTGAATTTTCACTTTATCATCCATTTGTTCTCCTCTGCCCCGTGAGCTTACCCTTCATCTCCACTTTGAATACTTGTATCTCATCTTTAAGCTCTTTTTAAAGACAGGTCATGTCATCTATCATTTCTCTCAGGCTGCAGAAAACTACATTTATACTTTCGGTCTCCTTCCTTGTAAAGGTTCCCTTGCAGTAGGTTTGTCTTCTGCCTCTCCCCTTTATTTCTCTACTCAAAGATCTTATCTGGTGTTTTCTCAGCTCAGGCTGGGAAGGAACCCACTAAGGAATTGCTGGGGAAGGGAGGTGGTTGTGCAGTTTATATCCACCAGTCAGGTACTGTCTGCAACCCTTTCAATAAAGAGCTCTGTCCCCCATTTCCCTCCAAACTCCTTCTCCCTGAGCGAGGCTCATGGCAAATCTCCTTCAGTCACGGGCTCCCTCTTCTGAGATCTCAGGATTGCTGCCTGCCCTTCCTTCCTCCCTTTTACCTCTTCTTCATTAGCTGTCTCCCCAGGTTGGGAGGCTGAACACAGTAGTGTGTAGATTTGGTTTCTTCTTCACTCCTTCCCTACAGCTCTGAAGTGCCACTGGCTGCATGGCCCAGCCATTCCCACCAGTGTCCACATGCTGGCAAAGGATCGAAGAGTGATCTTTTTTTATTTTTTAAGTTTATTTATTTATTTTGAGAGAGAGAAAGAGAGAGTGTGAGTAGGAGATGGGCAGAGAGGGAGAGAGGGAGAGGGAAAGAGAGAATCCCATGAACCATGAGATCATGACTTGGAACTGAAATCAAGTTGGATGTTCAACTGACTGAGCCACCCAGATGCCCTGCACAGGGGTGATACTGTAGGGATATTTAGAGAACACTGCATCCTGAATCAGACTGGGGTGGCTCAGTAAGCTCACAGCCTCCTCTCTCAGCCCAGTTCAGATTTCTTAGTATCTGGAGATGGGCTCTCTGGTTTAGGGGCTGGGTTTTAGCTATTTCCTTATTGCCTAGAGTACAGAACTCTGCTTTAGAAAAGTAGAATTAAAAGGTTTCTATTATCATTAGTGGGAAGTCACTGTTTTCTAAAGATTACAATGGACAAGAATGAAGGGTTATCATAATGAGCCAAAGTTCTTACACAATTAATAATTGTGTAATTAATAATAGTTGGGTGAGGGGCACCTGGGTGGCTGAGTTGGTTAAGCATCTGACTCTTGGTTTTGGTTCACATCATGATTACATGGTTCATGAGTTTGAGCCCTGCACTGGACTCTGTCTGCACTGACAGCTATAGAGCCTGCTTGGGATTCTCAGTCTCCTTTTCTCTCGCTTCTCCCTCTCTCCCACGATCTCTCTCTTTTTCTCTCTCTCAAAAATAAATAAATAAACATTAAAAAAAAATCACAGCTGAGGGGCACCTGGCTGGCTCAATTGGTTAAGCGTCTGACTTCAGCTCTGGTCATGATCTTACCACTTATGAGTTTAAGCCCTGTATTGGGCTCTGTGCTGACAGCTCAGAACCTGGAGCCTGCTTCAGATTCTGTGTCTCCTTCTCTCTCTGCCTCTCCCAGCTCGTGCTCCATCTGTCTGTCTGTCTCTCACACATATAAATAAACATTAAAAAATTTTTAAAAAATAGTTGAGTGATATTGGAATTTATTACATATAATTTTTCTGTATTCTTTCCTTTGTTTCTTAAATTCTTCCTATCTGCCTGGACTGAAATTAGGTAGCATGCTGACATTATTCTCTTCCTTTGTCACACACACAACTCTCCTAGGAGCTTGTTAAGACAGCACTCTGTCAACTTACCTCAGGAGTTAATGGCAGTGGAGATTTATCAGTCTCGCAGATAAAGAAGGGTCCACTTGTGGAGAGCAACACATTCACAGGCAGGGTGGAAATGTTCTTCATGACCAAGGGCTGGTAGTCAGGTTCCAGGACAGTGTTCGGCTTCTGCAAAAGGGGAAAAAGAAGAAACCAAGTTAAGATAAACACAGTAAGCCTTTAGCAACCAAAGTCTCCTCATCATTGTTAACAGCAGAATTAGCATTCCCCACCCCTCCTTGCTCTCTGTCTCTCTCTGTCTTCCCCCTACCCTTGTACAGACTTAGATAAATCATTTGGAATTTATGATGGACTACTGAAAAGTGATCCTCCATAAACCAGAAAACACAGATTAGATTTCTTACTCTCTTGTTGCCTGGTTAAAAACACCTACACAAACCATGCTTCTGGATAGTACTATTACAATAGAAGTTTCCAGTGTCATAAAACAAAGTCTAATAATTAGTGGTATCTAATGGAAGGACCCATGCATCATTATAATGAACAAAACATTATTTTCCTTATGTACTATTTTTTCTATGTTCAAAATATCCAATTTGCAAAAATATATACATTTGTAACATATTGTTGTATTGACAAAATGCTCATAACTATTTCTGTAAATTCTTCCTGATAACACTGGGAAAGCTGATGTAGAAGCATCTTTCCACTTTCTTAGATGCATCAAATTTCATTTTTCAACTGAAGAAAGCATCAGAAATGGATCTTAACCTGAAACTTTCTGGTCAGACTGAATTTTTCTCATTCTGATGTTGGAGTCCACATTATTTCTTGTGTGCTTTGGAAAAGGGGTCCTTTAGGATCAGCAGGAGGCAACCAGAAGCCTCAGTCTGTGGTTTCCAATGACAGCCTCCCTCCATTCATTCCCTGGCTCTTCCCGCCACTCTGACGTTTTCCCCAGGTCTCATTGTTTTGATTTGCTTTTTCTCATTGTTCCATTTTTAGTTAAATCCTTCTGATTCTATATTTTGGTCTGACTTTGTCTCTGCTTCTTTGTTCAACACGGTCTTCCTTCTACTATGGTTCCTGGCTCCCTTGTCTCTGAGGAGCTTGGATAACCAGTGCCCATTGTGTCTTTGTTGGCTTGGGCTGCTATAACAAATATCATAGACTGGGTGACTTAAATAATGGATGTCGGGAAGTCCAAGATCAAGGTGCCAGCAGATACGGTGTCTGGCGTTAGATGTCTATCTTCTCACTGTGTCCTCATACGGCTGAGAGGGAGACCATCTCTCTCGTCTCTACTTTTCAAGGGACTAATCCCATTCTTGGGGGCTCTACTTTCATGACATAATTATCCTCCCAGAGGCCCCACCTCCAACATCATCACATTGAGGATTAGGGCTTCAACGTATGAATTTGGGGAAGACACAAACATTCAGTCCATAACAGTTAGCTCAAGCTTCCTGCCTCAGTTGTACTCCACTGATCCCTGTGCACTCCCAGAGTTCTTTGAGGGGCTCAGTCTGGCACTTACCATGAGATGCCAGGCATTGTTTCCCTCCTTCTAACATCGCAATACAGGTACTAAATTCACCTTGTATTTGCAGATGATATACTACATTTTGTGAGAGGGATGAAGCAGCACTTTTGGGCCATACAAAGTTGTCTACCCAGTGACCTTCCCCTAGGCCGCTGCGTCACTGCAGGAAGCTTTGAAGAAGCCATAGTTCGTTGGTTTTGGCAAGAGGCCATTTAGAGGTTAGTGATGAGGAGGAGTCGATGCACACAGAGGCATTCTATTTTAAAATGACCCTTTCTCTCTGGGTTGTTTGTCTCTCCAAATATCAGGAGACATGATTTGCTGGTGGACTTCATGAAGCAAACTGGCTGCTACTTTCAGTTGACCTTTTCCATTCCCCAGAGATGTGGTTTCATCTGTGTGGCTAAGGAATGGCATCATAGTTATAAAGTAGATCAAATAAGAGGAAATGGTTATAGAAAAATTCTTTCCATAGGCAGGACTGGTATCATTATAGTCTAATGTACTAACTCAGATATGCTGCCTCAAGCCCAAAACGAGACAGGACAGATAATTGGGTGTTATGTAATGAAATCTGAACACCAACACCAACAGGCCTCTTGTGCATGCTGGGTAATAAAGTTGTATTTCTTCATTGTCTCTGATGTGGCTTAAACATGAGCTGGAAATAAACAATGAAAAATATAGTAGTTGGACAGATTTCACAATTATAATATTGGGGGGGGTAGGAGAAAAGGGCAAAAACAAATGAACATGGAGTTGTGACAATTCATTTTTTAATTCAATTAAGTTGCTGCCATATATAAAATATTTGCTCTTTTATTTTAGCAATAAGCTCAAACAGAGATTTAAACAAGAATATGTTAAGGCTTAAGGATATAAAAAGAAGAAACGAAACACTATGCTCACATTTTTATGGGTGTTTATGACTTAGAAAAAAAAATCTAATAAGAAACCAGGCTGCATATTTAACATACACTGTAATGGCTTGCATAGAATAGCTATTCAATAAATACGCACTGAATTTCTCTGAATACCCAAATTTAGAGGAAACACGATGCCACCAAATTTGGTGCAGCTGTTGCCAATAAATATCTTTCCTGATTACTTAAAAAAGGAAGAATTTAAAACAGCAATGAAAACTTAGTAACTCTGGCAGAAACTCCTGTAGTATTTTCTTCTTCTGTGTGTCATGGAGCTTGTTACAGTTGGTTTACCATCCTGTAGCTGAAACCCTTATTCTACTTCTTCAGTGTCTGCTTTCCGCACCAGTCCATTAAGCGAGGGTTTTGCTGTGCCTTTGCGGCCTAATATAATGTAAGTGCTCAAAAATTATCTGTTGGTTTGAAATGAACTTGTACATCTCACCTCCCTTACTTGATTATAAGCTCCTGTACTCATCTCCAGCGGAGCACTTTATCTATGGTGGGTGTTCAATAGATATTTAATATTAACAAAATAGAACGGAATCCACAACCAGCATAAATGGTCTTGAACATTCTCCTGCAAGCCTCCCAGTAATGAAAGGAATCCTGGTTGATTGCCCCATAATCAGTTAGGCGATGCCAGATTTAGTCCATTTGTATGACACCATGTCAGGACTTAGCTTTGATTATGTACATCCCATACTATGGAACAATGGCTTACTTAATACCCAGTTTTCCCAGTTGGCTTGAGGTTCATCTGGGAGGGACTGTTCTCACTACTTTATCCTTAGCACTCAACACAGTGCTTGGGACATGGTAGGCCTTGATAAATATTCCACTCAACAGCCAGTGTGACTGTTTCATTGAATATCTGACCATATCACTCCCCTCCCTCCCTAAAGCCCTCCAGTGGTCACCCAGAACAAAACCCAAAGTCCAGAACATGCCTCCCAGCCATGCCAAGCTCCTCTGGCCTCTGCCCACTTCTCTAGATGGACCTTGAGTCATTCTGGGCACATTCTCTAAGGTGACCTTTCAGTTCTATATATTCACCAAGCTCCTTCCCAACTTGGGCCCTTCACATGTGCAGTTTCCTCTGCCTATTGATTCTCTGCTTGTCCCTCATCACCAGACTAACTTCTATTTCTCCTTCAAATCTCAAGTCTAGGTATTTGTTGGCAGAAGCCGTCTATGACCACATGTACAAATATGGCCATGTCTCCAAGACATGTTCTTGTAGTGCCTTATACCTCATATTCACAGCACTGTTTAGAATTGAATATTAAATGACTCAATTGTAATAATTTATTTACAGTCTGTAACCTTGACAAGTCTCTTAGATTTGATGATGTCGGGCTGGTTCACCAGATTTCCAGCACCAATACAGTCCTCAACTCAGAAGAGACATTCTCTACCTATATATTTTGAATGGTACATAATTCTAGCATGGAAGTCTGCCTAGGAGTAGGTCAAGCCCTGCTGTGATATCTCCCCCCACCTTATCTCCATCTTGACACCCCTGCTCTGAGCAGCAGCCATTCCTTGCTTTCCCCTGTCCTCTGCCTCCTCCATTTAGTGCTTGTTCTTAATGGCCAAATAAAGTCACGGGCATGTATAGCCATATAAATTAAAGAGTATGTATGAATCAAAGAATTTAGGTTGATTATTCTCAAGCAGTGTTAGGTGAATTGAATGACAACTTAATTTTTATCTCTATTCCCTCACATGTATGACAGAATGATAGCAGACCCATTGCATAGTTTGTTGTAAGGAAACAACAGGGAAAATGTAGGTGAGGAACACAGCCTGATGCCAGCACCTACCAATCAATAAGTGGCAGCTTTTCTTACTGATTATTATAATTATCAAAAATTCTACTCTAACCTTTTCTATACTGTGATGTTTATTTCACCTAGTTAGAATAAAAGGATCAACTAAAATGCACTTTCAGCACACTAGAATATGCCTTCATTTACTTTGGTCTTATATATCAGGAACGATGCAAGTAGAATTTCCATAACAATTCACATTTCAAAGGAATGTAGGTTTAGATTCAGAAGTTTTAATTGAATGTGTATTGGTCTCTGAAGCTTAGAAAACATTGGCTGGGTGTGGGTGTAACAGGCTTCCCATTAATTTAGCTCCCAAAATGAGAATGTGAACATGCTGCCCCCTACTTAGGGCACCCACCCAAGGCAGCAAGCCACACTGACCTTCTCCAGGCAGTATATGAGCTGCTTTGTGGAGAGCTGGATAAGTGGTGCTATAAACTCACAGATGATATTCACAGTCATCAATACGCTCCTCCCCTTCTGTGCCCCGATGATGGCATGGCACACCAGCTTTTCTTTGACTATCTGTAGACAAGACACATCAGAACTTTTGGAATATCTGTATCTTAGAAAGCTTAATTCTCAACAATCAGCAAGCTGATTCTCAACTACCTGCCTGGTGACACCAGGGAAGAGCACATTTTTCTGAACAGTGCATTTCAGGGATTGCCCTCTGTCACACAATTAAAGTCTGATTGGTTGAATATGTCCTGGATGGATCCTGTGTTTGGTTCTGACTGTTCCTGAGGACACAATCAATTTATATTCAGTTCAACCAATATATACATATATATATTACAAGAAAATGTATTATGCATCAGGAGTATTCGGGACTGGACATACAAAATAGACAAGGCAGACAAGGCAGGTAAAATCTTTACTGGGTTTATAGTTCTGGTAGATATATGATTTCTTATCAAGCTAGGCAGGAACTATGGCTAGGAAAATTTTGCCTTTCATGCTTGAATATTTAAAAATCATGCTGTAGATTCTTCCAACAAACAAGAGTTCAGGGCCAGATGGCTTTCTATGGGAATTTTACCAAACATTTAAAGAAGAATTAACACCTATTCTTTTGAAGTTGTTCTTAAAAAAAAAAAAATAACAGAAATGGAAGGAATACTTCCAAACTCATTCTATGAGGCCAGCATTACCTTGATTCCAAAACCAGGCAAAGACCCCAATAAAAAGGAGAATGACAGACCAATTTACCTGATGAACATGGATGCAAAAATTCCCAACCAGATACTAACCAACCGGATCCAATAATACATTAAAGGAATTATTCCCCATGATCAAGTAGGATTTATTTCTGGCATGCAGGACTGGTTCAATATCAGCAAATCAATCAGTGCAATACATTGATACAGAAAGGATAAGAACCACATGATCCTCTCAATAGATACAGAGAAAGCATTTGACAATATGCAGCAACACTTCTTGATTAAAACCCTCATGAAAATAGGGCTGGAAGGATTATACCTCAAGATCATAAAAGCGACATATGAAAGACCCACTGCTAATATCATCCTCAATGGGGAAGAAATGAGAGCTTTCCCCCTAAGGTCAGGAGTAGGACAAGAATGTCCACTCTCACCACTGTTGTTCAACATAGTATTGGAGGTCCTCATCTCAGCAATCAGACAACACAAAGAAATAAAAGGCATCCAAATTGGCAAGAAAGAAATCAAACTTCCACTCTTCACAGATAACATGATATTCTATGTGGAAAACCCAAAAGACTCCACCAAAAAATTGCTAGAACTGATCCATGAATTCAACAGTCACAGGAAATAAAATCAATGTACAAAAATTGGATGCATTTCTATACACCAATAATGAAACAGCAGAAAGAGAAATCAAGTAATAGATCCCATTTACAAGTGCACCAAAACCCATGAAATACCTAGGAATAAACCTAACCAGAGAGGTGAAAAATCTATACACTGAAAACTATGAGAGAAGTTGAAGAAGACACACAAAAAAATGGAAAAACATTCCATGCTCATGGATTGGGAAAACAAATATTGTTAAAACATCAATACTACCCAAAGCAATCTATATATTCAATGCAGTCTCTATCAGAATAACACCAGCATTTTTTTTTTTTTGCAGAGCAAGAACACACAATTCTAAAATTTGTATAGAACCAGAAAAGACCCCAAATAGCCAAAACAATGCTGAAAAGGAAAACCAAAGCTAGAGGCATCACAATTCTGGACTTTAAGCTATATTACAAAATAGACACAGAGACCAATGGAATAGAATACAGAACCAAGAAATGGACCCACAAATGTATGGTCAACGAATCTTTGACAAAGCAGGAAAGAATATTCAGTGGAAAAAGAGTCTCTTCAATGAATGGTGTTGGGAAACCTGGACACTGACATGCAGAAAAATGAACTTGGACCACTTTCTTACATCATACTCAAAAATAAACTCAAAATGGATGAAAGACCCAAATGTAAGACAGGAAGCCATCAAAATCCTAGAGGAGAAAACAGGCAACAACCTCTTTGATCTCGGCTGCAGTAACTTCTTACTTGACATGTCTCTAGAGGCAAAGGAAGCAAAAGCAAAATGAATGAGTGGGACCTCAACAAGATAAAAAGCTTCTGCACAGTGAAGGAAACAGTCAGTAAAAGTGAAAGGCAACCAATGGAATGGAAGATATTTGCAAATGACATATCAGATAAAGGTTAGTATCCAAAAATCTATAAAGAACTTATCAAACTCAACACCCCCCCCAAAATAATCCAGTGAAGAAAAGGGCAGAAGACATGAATAGACAGTTTTCCAAAGAAGACAACCAGATGGCTAACAGACACATGAAAAAATGCTCAACATCACTCATCACCAGGGAAATACAAGTCAAAACCACAATAAGATACAACCTCACATCCCTCAGAATGGCTAAAACTAACAGTTCAGGCAACAACAGATATTGGCGAGCATGCAGAGAAAGAGGACCCTTTAGCACTGCTGGTGGGGAATGCAAACTGGTGTAGCCACTCTGGAAAACAGTATGGAGACTACTCAAAAAATTAAAAATATACCTACCCTATAACCCAGAAGTTGCACTAGTAGGTATTTATCTAAAGGATACAGGAGTGCTGATTCAAAGGGGCACATGCATCCCAATGTTTATACAAGCACTACTGAAATAGCCAAAGTTTGGAAAGAGCCCAAATTTCCATCAGCTGATGAATGGATAAAGATGTGGTGTGTATACACACACACACACACACACACACACACAATGGATATTACTGAGTTATCAAAAAGAATGAAATCTTGCCATTTGCAACAACCTGGATGGAACTAGAGTATATTATCCTAAGTGAAATAAGTCAGTTAGATAAAGGCAAATATATGATTTCACTCCTATATGGAATTTAAGATACAAAACAGATGAACATAAGGAAAGGGAAGCAAAAATAATGTAAAAACAGACAGGGAGACAAACCACATGAGACTCTTAAATAGAGAACAAACTGAGGGTTGCTGGAGGGGTGTTGGGTAGGGGGAAGGGCAAAATGGGTGAAGGGTATTTAGGGGGACACTTGTTGGGATGAGCACTAGGTGTTTAATGTAAGTGATGAATCACTAAATCCTATTCCTGAAATCATTATTAAAATAAACAAATAAATAAACTATTAAAAACCATGCTGTAGAAAACAATACTTCTTTGGATCCAAGAGGCCCAGATTGTTATAAAGTAAAAAGGACCTAGAGTGACATTATATCAGAACAGCTTACATTGAAGAGTATTCAGGTTTTGGGTGTTAATGAACTCAAGTCTCTTCTCAATTATGTACTATAACATGGAAGAACATTCAGGGAAGTGTTTAGCAAATTTTAAACTGAATTTAGAATCCCAGCTGCTCAGATTTAATGCCTTAAAAATATGATCAGCTCCTGGTAACAACATTGTAAATGCACTCCTGCGACAGGCTGTCAGTGTCTCGAGTTGAGGGGCTGCATTCTATCCATCTTTGCATCCTTACTGACTAGCATTGTGTTCATCCTGTGGCACACACTCGCAAAAGTTGGCTAAGTCCCTGAATGACAGAAAGAAAGAGCACATGAGGCACTCCTACGATGGGAAAAGACCTTTTCGTTTTTGGTTTTGCACCGAGGATGGGTTTTACCTGAATGTACGCCGTAAAGAAACACTGCAAATGAAATCAAATGAACCTGCGACTCTAGGGACTTAAGCCATGGGCAAGCTTTCCCATCTCGTCTGCTGGGAGACAAATTTCTATTGTTTCCTATCTCATGAGGAAAAATTCAATACTACCTCCTAATTCAGTGACTCCAGCAGGAGCTCAAGCATGATTATTTCTCATCCATAAAGTCTGCACTTGTGAGGTAGAAGAGGCTCATAAGTGACATAGGAAGTTACTGTTGTGCTTTTGATGGCTTCCAATTTCCATGAGGGAATAGGAATAAATAGATGATTTGAAGCTGCTTAAATGTTTAAAGCAGAATGGTGCTAATATAAATATGAGCAGGACATCCAAGTTGCTGAAGATAACTCAGCGCTTTAATTGATACCTAACTAGATGATGGTTGTAAACAGGAAGCTGGAGTGTCAGGTTGAGAGGAAAGGGACCAAGGATGTCCCAATACGTGGATAGGAGAGGCAGCTGAGTGCCTGTAAAAGCATTCTTTTTGAATAAATATGAAACTAATTTTGTTATGTGTTAAGAGGAGACTTAGCTTCAGGTGAATGCTGGATGTCCCTCTGACCCTGGGGATGAGGACCTACTTTAAATGGTATTTTAGGGTTGGGTTCATGGTAGCTGTAGAAACAAACAGAAAACTGAGTAGAGCTGAACCCTGAAAGCAATGAGTGCTGCCATGGTAACTCAGTGCTGTGTGAAAACCTTGAGAAACGGCATCCTTTCTTCAGATAAATGTCAAGGGACTCTCCTAAAAAATAGAGCAAAGATTTATTTAGGAGAAAAACAGCTTCTAAATGTGCTGTCCTCTTACCCTGGAAGTAGCAGAATAGCCTTTAAGTATCACATCGATCGTCTGGTCTGGGTACAGCTCCATTCTGACCGGGTGGATCTGAAACACGGGGCTCTGGGGAGCCCCAGGCTCGTGGAAGTGCTGGGGTTGGGGCTGGCTCTTAGAAAGTCCCTTCTTAGCCAGGCCCTTCTTGCTCAGCTTTTTCTGGGGATAGAAATCTTCGTTCATCCAGAACAGCTGTTGGACCCGACGTCCCTTGTTGGTCAGCTTGAAGCAGTAATAATAGGTGTCCAGGCTGGAAAAGAGGAGGCAGGGATTGAGAGGGCTCAACTTTGGGGTGTTCTGTTCAGCTCCACACCCTTGGGATCTTCTCCTATGAAATGTATTTACAAGATGAATAATGAAATAGACTTTATTTTTAAAAATTTAGGAAGGCTACGTCATGATGCTATGAGGAGCTACCACAGTAAGGGGACGAGGTAGTATCTATTCATGGAATCCAGCATCTGGGTTTGGTTCCTGAATTTCCATCAGCTGGGAAGGGGTATATGAACACAGACATGGTATATGTGAAAATCACTCTAATTTATGAGAAATGGTTCTGAGGAGTGAAAGGATAGCAAAATAGGTACTGGAAGAGAAATATATTTCAAATTGTGTCGAGTCAATTTCTACTGACTGAGTGAAGTCTCTTGTGATGTGTGATGTGCTCAGCTTGAAGGGAACTTGGAAGAGAAGCCACACATCTTCAGAGCCTGACCAAAGCTCAAGGGGCTGTACCATGGGCCAGAACATCACTCAGATTGGTCATTTTTCTCAGAGGAGTGCTTTAAAAATGCTATTTCATTCATCAAGTCATTTGCACATTCATTCGTCTATTCCATGAACATTTATTAAGAACCTCTTGATTGTCTGGCTCTTTGCAAGACGCTGGGATTTCTGAGATCTTGGACATGGCTTAAATGTGGTTTTGTTTTGAATTTTAAAAAAGTGATTTATAAGTTTACTTAAATTATTTTTTTCAGGGAGAAAAATCATGTCAGGACTGTTGTTTATTTCTAAAATTTTATTAGGCTTTGACATTTCATCCCCTCTGTTCCTCATTAGAAATAGCATCGTATTCTAATAAATAAAATGAAGTATAAATAATAAATAAACAATAAGGAATATTTGCCGATTGTCAGGTGTAACCATTTCTTTCTAAATACATATTCACAGAGCATGCTTATTAGAGTAGTTTGACTTCATGGCTAATTCCAGGCTTTGGGGAAATTATAAATATATAAATAATAAATATATAATATATAATATAAATAATATAAACTGTAGGAAGTGTCTCTGTCACTTGTACACAGTATATATTTCAATTGTCACAGCAATACAGTAATAATAAGTATGCTTACTCATTTTATAAAGAGATAAATGCTATGAAAATTTAAGGGAGTTGCCCAAAAATATTCAGTCAGAAAAGGTGGTTTATGGGTATTTCTTCAGAGTCTTATGATCAAAAGGTTGACAAACTTTTTCCATAAAGGGATGAATAATAAATACTTAAGACTTCCTGGGCCACATGGTCTGTCACAACAACTCAACTTTCCACTGTAGTGTGAAGAAGCCATAGAAAATGTATGTATAAGAATGGGCATGGTTGTATTCCAATAAAACTTTATTTATAGAAAAAGGCAGTGGGCTGCAGTCTGCCCATCCCTGCTTTTGACCATTCTTCTGGAGATTGCTGGTATCATGATTTTATGGCAAAAAGAATAACTACAGGGCTTAGCCAGAGGAGAAATTGGCAGTTAAAAGCTGCAGTTTGCTTCTACATTCATAGGAAACTATTAGCTAGGAAAGTGTCAGAATATCCTTTGGGGTTATTTGACACTATTTGTAGACTAAGGAGAACATGTAATTAAGTCTGGCAAGCAGTACATTGTTTTCTATAATTATATTTGAGTGTACTTAACAAAGAAATTTGGAAATAGAAGCATGGTATGCAATGACAAAATGCCCTAGCTTATGGCCGGAGATGGGCGGAGAGGAGCATTTTTACATCTAGTTGACACAAAAACTGTAATTGGATGTTTCTCTGAAAACATATGCAGTTCAACTATCTGACTTGCCTGTTACTTAATTCCTATTCGTAGGAAAGGAGGTGTGGATGGGCTTTTGGGGAGGGCTCCTAACTGGCTTTTGTCAGGTATGTCGTCTCTAAGCACAGTGTCCACCTTGGTTTCCAGGCCTGTTACACCACAAGGCAGGAGCATCCCTTTGAGACCTGCTCACAGGGACTGCAAAAGACAGGCCAAACTGGCCCAGGAATCAATGAGTGGCAGCCATGTGACTCCGCTGAGGAACCATGAATAAACCTCCATTTATCTCCTCCACTGTTAGCATTCAAACCTCATATACTTTCAGAGACATACATTTAGACTGTTCTGCTCAGAGATGTCTATGCTGTACCACTTTATATTTAAATATTGAGATTCTGTAGCTTTTTGGGAGGAGCCAATTCCAGTCATCTCAGTTGTTGGTGCTCTGGTGGGGAGATGAGCAGACGACATAAAAAGAAAAAATATGACTGGCCTTGTAATACCTGACAATATACATTTACATTAAATTTCCAACCTTCCTACTTATACTGTACTTAGGTCACCACCAAGTTATATCTGTATTTTCCATATTCATGGAGAGGAATTAGCAATGTGTTGGATGGGAATTAAAGAGGAGGAATCATGGTTGAGATACTAAATTTGTCACAAAGAAATCATTGTATAAGAGAAAAATATCTTCTCTGGTGTAGAGGGACACAGCTTGGAGAATGCAACCACGCTATGCCTAGGAAATGTCTTCTTGTCGCTGACGTACCCATTTGGAGGGGGGAAGTGAAGATAGGAAAAGGGAGGGGGGCTGAAGACATTAGTTCTATTTACTTAAATTAATTTTTCAAACTAGAGGGGATGCTCAGTTTATGAAACAGATGTGGTGTCTATAAGAATCAGTCCAAGATATTTCCCTACCTGAAATGTGCTCCCAAATTGAGTTCTGGAGCAAAGGGTTTATCTGAAACAATGGTGGAACCAACTCCTGAAGCCTGGACAGGAATCCGGTAGGTGTTGCTATTTTCTATGCTCAAAATGACTGTGTCTTTGAATGTCAGTATGTCATTCAGGTTGGCTGTCAATGTAAGTTGAAAATCAGTTTCCGGGGGAACCATGCCTTCACTGGGTTCAATCGTCCAAAGGGATTTTTTGTGTGCCTGCAACACAAGAGTACAAGTTAACAGTGAAGATATTCTTGGCTTTTCATTCTGCACATGTCAAAGCACTCTATACTTCAAATGACTGGCATTGCAGAACTGAACATCAAAGACAAACATTATTTTTTTGAATCAAAGCAGCTGGGTGTTTGTTGGCTTTTCTTTTTTTCAAAAAGCAATGTGATTCTGAAGAGCAAACCTACAATTCTACTTTTGAATACTCTGTGAAGATTCTTTACATCTCTTTCTCAAGATGACAGTCCAGTTCTCTAACAAGCTTATACTAATTATCTGCTCTAATCTCCAAATTCTGAGATACCAGCAGAACGTACAATATCTTTCCTGGAATTTGTAATTTATAAAGCAAATGTTTTTCAAGTGCAAACTGTCTATGATGTTATAGTTAGGATAAACAGCTTTCATTAATAAACACTATGTAGGAAGCCTTCTTGATTTATATTATTTCACAATAATCGATGGAATTTCATTTGCTGAAATCCTAAACTTATTTTGAAATATATGACAGGACTAAATTATGGAGTTGGAATTCATGCCCACTAATCTGTTTCCTTTTGCCACATAGACCCATATAGCTCATTCTTTCCTCCCTAAGTTCTTTCTTTGGCCAAACAATACCTCTCAACAAAGCCTACCCTGCCCATCACATTTTTAATTGCAAACCTTCCCCCAGTATTCCTGATCCCCTTTACCCTGTTCTATTTTTTACCCTTAGCACTTACCATCTTATAACTTATATAACTGACTTACTTATCATGCTTGTTTGTTTCCCTGCACTAGGAAAAATATGTTTATATTTTTTGTTCTTGTTTGTGTTCATTGATATATCCCCAGCACCTGCTACTATGTCTGGTACATACTAGGTGCTTAATAAATATCTGATATATAAAATAATGTATCTGCCTTTGATATTAGAAAACTCAATTCTCATCTAAGGTAACCTACCCCAGATTTTAACACCTTAAGTTGTTAAATATCACTTCCTTATGTTAAGTAGAGATACACTTTTTTTTGGTACCTTCCACAACACTGGTATTTGGTCCACTCCCTTGAAGCTAAATAGAATAATCTGAAGCTCTCTCTTTACTTAATAGCCCTTCAAATCCTGCATCCCAGCTTTAGAAGAAAATCTCATATAGCACAATCAGGCTCCAAAGTTAAAATTTTGGCTAAGGTGTCAAGTCATAAAAAATGACTAATGCTGTAAGCATCTTATTTAATCTAAAAATATAAATTTTGCTTCCTTGATGGTAATTTATCTGTTTTTTCAGGCTTCTTTTAAGGTTTTTTCCTTGTATCTAATTGTGTGCAGAGCAGGATCCCCATATGGTATGTAGTTAGTTTACTTGCATATCCTTCTTGGAATTTGCTACTTCTCTGGAATCTGTGGTTTAATATCTCTTATTTCTATAAACTTCTCAGCCATTCAGCCATTATCTGTTTAAATATTGTTTCTGTCTCATTCTCTTTCTCTTATCCTTGTTTGTATGTGGCTTTTCTAATGTGTTGTCTCTGTCTCTGCAGACTCCCATCTGCATTTTCCATTCTTTTGCTCTTTGCGCTTCGTTTTTATTTGTTCCGAGCTATCTTCCAGTTAACTAATTCTTTCTTCAGCTGTGTGCAAGTCACTTTTTAACACAACTATATGGAACCAACTTGACAATAAACTATTTTTTAAAAAAATAATAAAATAAAAAAATAAACTTCATGTTGGGACTCTCAAAAATAATCTTTTTTTGAATGTGTTAAAACTGTACATTTATGTTTTCAAATGCATACCACTTTTTAGTTATTTTTATTACTTATTTTTCCTGAATTGCATTGGAGTAAGAAAACATATTCTGTATAATAACACTTCTTAAGTTATATTGAGACCTTGTTTGCAACATAGTACGTAGTTCTTTTTTAAAATGTGCTGTGCATTTGAAAAAATGTGCATTCTCTAGTTATTGAGCACAAAGCTCTAAATATGTCCATTTAATTAAGATTGTTCACCGATTGCATTGTTTAAATATTCTATAGCCCTAGTAACTTTTTTCTTCATTTATCAATCCCCATGACAAGGATTTTAAAATATTCCACGAAAACACATATTTTGTGCATTTCTCAGTTCCACTAATTTCTACCCAATATGTTTATAAGCTGTATTATGGATATAGTTTGGGACTGCTCTATCTTCTTGGTGAATTCAAAATGTTACCATTGTATGGGGTACGTTTTTATTCGTTTAATGCTTGTTTCATTTGATTTGTTTTTAATTGGTATTTGCCTAATACATCTTTTTCTGTTTTTACTGTTGAAAAAAAAAAAAACCAAAAAAACAAAAAAACCCCACACGTATTATGTTCTTGCTTTCACATGTAAACAACAAAAGTGTGAGTCAGAAGAGGCAGGGTGAGGTGCTTCAGGGGCACCTAAAGAACAAGATGCTTCTCCAGAGCAGAGGATATTGAAACACCTTTGATTGTGACATGCTTAACTTGCAGCATCTCAGCCACCCTGGATAATGACATCCAGCTGGCCAAGAAGAGAAGAAAGAGGATGGAGAGCCACATGCTGAAATTTTACATACCAACCCTGGAAGTGTTACACGTTACTTCTGCTACTTTCTCTGTCCACAACTCAGTCAGGCAGCCACCTTAACTGCAAAAAAGACTGAGAAATGTCATCTGGCTCTGAGTCTAAGAGTAAAAGGGACCAGGTGTGGTGAACTGGCAGGTACTTGCTGTTAAAGCTACCCTGATGGTTAAGTCTTTCCCCAACTTCCTTGGCCCTCAGATTTTGGAAGGTCAGGAATTTACTCCATCAGAACACAGAAGTGGGAACATAACTTGGCATTTCAATTCCTACGGGGATTTCAGGCCTGGAATTTATATCTACCTGTTAGGACAAATGGAAGGGCAGCTAGAAGAAAAGGTAAGAAAAGTTCTAGGCCAGATCATCTCAGCTGTTGGCCCTTCTTCCCAAATTAGTGGCCTTGGGGCACTCTACATAGTTTTACTCCTTTTTGAGACCCAGCTTACAATTAAAACACAGATCAGTGCCATTTTCCACCTCCTTTTGTCGAAAAGCAAATGCCTTTTTGTCTGTCAATGTCATCTACTTTTCATTTACTTTCCTCCCCTAGCCAGTAGCACAGGTCAGTTCTTTGTTCATAATGAAGATAGGGTGTCACCAGCATAAGTGCTATTTGGTCAGGGGACATTAGTTTTCAATGGATGGGTACCATTTCTATTCTGATTCCTGCTGACACAGGTTGGCTGCTCTGGCAAGAAGATATGAAGTTGCTCTTCAGGGATGAATTGGTGAGTTTTCTTTCTGATGAAGGTTATTAATCAATGTTTGGCATAAAATGAGGCAGCAAAGTATATCATAGAACCCACGAACAAGGCACACTAAAACACCAGCTGCAAAGGTACTGGACTGTCCTCACCCAAAGTCAACCTTTAAATTGCTTTAACATCCCTGTGTCTCTTTGCCATTTGACTTTTGGGGGATGTCCTTTGCTACTAGGAACGACTTGACATATGTGACATTTTCTGTTATTAGATGACAAATTTGACAAAAAAGGAGTGAATGAATGATAATCAGCATAGCTATGGAAGACATTCCATAACCTTTCAAAACTACAATATATTAAGACAACAACTGATGGAAATAGGTTAGGAAGGAGGGCTCTGAAGGAACAGGGATGTGGGTTTGAGTCCCAGCTCCATTTTGTTCTAACTGTTGGGTCTTGGGGGTGTTACTTAACCATGCCTGGCCTCAGTTTTCTCATCTGTAACTTGGGACACAAACTGCACCTTCTGCATAGCACTGTGGTAATATTCAAATGAGGTAATGTGTGCAAAACTCAGAATAGTGTCTGACAAATAGAAAGTCCTAGCTATTGCCATCATTTTACCAATATGTGAAATGCCCCACATGACATATAGTATTTGTTAAAAATATGAATTACAGAACTGAGAAAACAAAGATGGGTGCTAAGAAAGCGTGTTAACATATAATACACCTGCCAGAAGAGAGGGAAGTTATAAGGGTTTGTGACAGGCAGAATTGCAAGGGGAACCCCAATATGTCCATCTCTTGATGTATAGTTATCTTCTCCCAGTTATTTAATCAAACACTAATCTATGTGCTGCTGTGAAGGGATTTTGCAGATGAAGATCCTACATCTGTTGATTTTAAGGTGGGGAGATTATCCTTAATGAATCTGATGAGCCCTTAGAAGGGATTGGGCTCTTTCTAGTCAAGAAACTTCAAGTGTGAGAGGGGCTATGGGAGGGACCACATGGCAGGGGGGCTGTGGGTGGCTCAACAGTAGCTAGGTGCAGTCCCTAGCTGATGGCTAGCAAGAAAGCAGGGGCCTCAGTCTCTCACTGTAAGGAAATAAATTCTGCCAACAACCTGAGGGGCTTAGAAGTGGATCTTTTCCTAGTCAAGTCTCCCAAAGGGAATGCAGTTCTGCCACTGCCTTGACTTTACTGTATTGAGATCCTAAGAAGATCCAGCCAAGTCATGCCCAAACTTATGACCTACTGAAACTGAGATAATAAATCTGCGCTGTTTTAAGCCACCAAGTTTGTGGTAATTTGTTTCACAGCAATAGAAAATGAATGCAGGGTTTCACATATTTGTTCCAAAGATGATAAAAATGATCTTTCCTAAGCCTTTCATCAAAACTTCAGCAATAGTTGCTTCTGTTTTTTTTTTTTTTTTTCTGTGAATTGGGGGGTAAAAAGCCACAGTCCTGTTAGCAGCCTATGAACAACACATACAGAAGGTTAGTACATGCAAGCGCAGACAACTGTGAGAGATGGAAACAAGGTAATCTTTTGCAGTTCAGAATCCCATGTCCGCTGGTGATTAGTGCCATGCCCTGAGGTTTCATGTGTCCAAAGATAACATTTGGTTTTTATTTGACAATAGGGCATCAGCATACTTCTTAGGTAGTGCTCAGCTTCCAAGGTAATATAGTCGGA